GGAGGCAACAATTGTACGTGGAGGTTAAATTCAGATGGGTACTCAAAGTATATAAGCCAAAATCCAGGTATAATATACAGTGTTTAAAACACCCTCTGGAAACCACCCTCATAGGAACCAAGTTAAAAAATTAATAATAACAACTGTTTCCTGATCTTTATGTAGAACAGGAAAGTATAAAGACAAATGTTGGATTAAGATGGACAGAAATAAGTTCAGAAGCCTACTCAACATGCTCAGAAAGGAAAGATGAGCACATAAATGAAGAAACACTCAAAGGACGTACATTTAAGTCGGAAGTACTTCAACTTGATCTGTGGCTTAGAAATCACCCAACTAGTAAAGACTGCCATTATCAGGGTCTACAGTGTAGACTCCACACAGTTCAACAAGGCTCATTCACCACCAGGAAGCAACAGGTATGATAGCAAGGTTGGGGGGGGGGGGGGTAGGGGAAGGCTTAGTATTAACCTAGCCAGTAGGATAATTCCACCTACAAAGGTCTCCCATCTGTATTATTTATATATTCTATTTTTTTAAACATTGGGATTGGCCTGTGGTATACAAAACGAAACTCCCTTCACCACATCATACACATGGTACCTCAGTAAAAATCAAAAGAACAAGCAGAATTAACAAGCACATGAAACAGTGCTCAGCATCATGTGTCATTAGTAAAATACACTGCAATGACTACAATCACGAAGACGGACAAGAGTGTTCCCTAAGGATGTGGAAAAACTGGAACCCTCATAAAATAGTGCAGCTACTTTGGAGAACAATTGTCAGTTTTTTAAAAGTTAAGTATAAGCTCACCATATGACCCAGCAATCCCACTCCTTAAAATCTAGCAAGAGAAATAAAAACATATGTCCACACATATGGTGAATTCTAAACAAAATGTGGTGTATCTATACAATGGAATATACTTCAGCAATTAAAAACAAAATATTGACACAGGCTACAGCATAGATGAACCTCAAAATATTGTGCAAGGTAAAAGCAGCCAGAGAAAACAACTGTATATTATATGATTCTACTTATACAGAATTTCCAGAAAAGAAAAATTTATAGAGACAGAAAATAGATCATTGGTTGGCTGCAGCTGGAAGCAAGGACTGACTGCAAACATGCTCAAGAGAATTTGGGGTGATTAATGAAAATGGATTGTGATGGTTGACAACTTTATAGCTATTAAAAATGAGTGCATTACCCACAATGGGTAAATTTTACAGTATGTATGTTACACCTCAATAAAAAGAACTAGCAAAGCTAGTAAACAATGATACCTATGTTAAAAACCCCTGCTGACTGCTCTCAAATGCTAGACTTTTATTTCAGAGCTAATTGTACGCACAAATAAGAGAGTGAAACATGCCTTGTCAATTGTACTACATCCTCAGGCTACATTTATTTTTCAACCAACAATTATCAAGGAATTACTGCAGGGAAGACATTGTGTATGGCTCTCCTTTGTCTGCTACTGAACACCACTAGCAGATGTAAAAGGAAAGCTACCCTAACTCTAAATTCCCTTACTATAACTGTTTTAAATAAGATGCAAAGAGAACAAGGAAAATGAAGCATTTCAGTTTATTAGAAAAAGAAACAGATTACTACAAACAGTAAATACAGGGGTGAGGAAAGGAGGTTTATAGTTGTATTAACAATACAATAATTAATAAATAATACAAGAATAAACTGTTTCAAAAACTCACAATTGTAAACCTCCTTTTGCCCACCCTGTATTTTAAAGCTAAATAAAACTGCTAGTGATCAGTACGCTTGATAAGACCTGAAAATTTTTCAAAACAGTCATTCATAGTGACTTATAACAACTCTTGGTTTCTGATCAAAATCTCTCATGCCCTTTGGTTTTGGTTCTACTTTTGTTAACAAATATTGCCTTATTATTAATAACAGCCAATATACTATTTTAAAGAATTCAACCCTGTGCCCTGGCTGGTGTGGCTCTGTTGATTGGTTTCATCCTACAAACCTAAAGATATTGGGTTGATTTCCAGTCCAGGGTACATACCTAGGTTTCGGGGTCAGTCCTTGCTTGGGGCATGTAGGAAAGGCAACCAATCGATATTTCTCTTCCTCTCTTTCTCCCTCCCTTTCCCACCCTCTAAAATCAGTAAGCATGTCTCTCAGGTGCTGATTTTCCAAAAAAAAATTCACCCTGTGAACCCAGCATTTCATCTGCCCTCACTCATTAAGTATGGTTTCAACACAGGCATTACGACGTCACCAAGGTATATAAGAAGGAACTGGATGTTTAACCAGAAGAAAAGTTAGAGGGGAGAGGGAACAGATGACACATGATAAACGATAAAGCTGTTCAGCCCTCCACATGAGATGTCTTGACTTCACCTAAAATACTGAATAGAATTAGCTTAAATCCTTTCCAAGACAGACTGTTTCAGCACAATCCAGAAAATATCCAAATTACAATTAATTTTTCCTACCTGACCTCCAATTAATTCCACCACCCAAACCTATCCTCTCTGCATATACAAATGTTCATTTGTCTCCCTTCCTATAGATAGATAAGAAATAAGTGTCAGGAACATAGATCAAATGTTTACTTGGGAACTACTTTAATATCTCTTCAAGCAGGGGTATATTTCTACAAATAACTCCTTTTACTTAAAAAAGAACTGTTCAGTCAACAAATATTTACAGGACACAACAATTGGAAGACAAAAAAGACCCATCTCCCAAAGGAGCCTGTATTCGGTCCGTTAAACAAACTAAAAAACCAAGATGTATATAACTAGACAACACTTAGTATGTGAAGCATTCCTCATCACAATCATCCAGATAATTAAGCTAAAGTCAACCTGCTCTGCTCTCTCTCTATCTAAATAAAGGATTGCTAGAGGAGGCTCTGCAATTCATTTCTATGGCCTAAAAAACAACCCCAATAATAATCCGTTAGAAATTAGTTCCAAGTCTATAATCTCTTTAAAATAACGAAGGTAAGGAGGCATTGAATACTAAGTGACCAATTATAACAAAAAAAAATGTAAAGCACTTTAGATATCTGAACAAACCCATACGTTACCAAAATATAATCATTCTTGGACATAGAAACATTCCCCAAGAGATTATCAATGCTGACCAAAAACAAACCTCAGTATTTCCTCTGTCACACAAATACACGCACGAAGGGAAATGCTAACCACTGTGACTCAAACGGCTTCCGAAAGGTAAGTGAGGATCACGTGGGACAACCCACTGCATAATTTAATCATACTTTACAGGGAGGGAAAAAATAAAGTACAGATGGGAGAATGACTCCAATCAAGAATAAAATGAGAAGAGATAGTTTTAGTAGAATCCTGAATGCCACCATGATTTCACCCTGATTTAAAGATAAAGCTTCATAATCTACCAACAGAAAGTTATTTTGTGTTTTTTCCCAAAAGCTGTAATAAAATCGTTCTGAGTCATTCACATTCTTTTCACCAGTAAACCTTCTCACTGACAGCTCATATATATTTTTAATATTAGCACAAAACAGGACTTTAAGTATAGTTCTAGAGTACTGTTGCCATGGAGAAACTCAAGAGGTCCAAATGGAGACCAAACCCATAACCATTACTGTCCCTCTCCCCCAAGCACCACTCCCCCAACAGGAGGTCTTATGACCAGAATACAGAGCCACAAACAGAAGCTCCCAATTAATGTTTTGGGAACTCTAATACTTAGTCAAATCTTCTGATAAAATTCTTGTAGCTCTACCTCATACTTTCCCTCAGAATTCCAAATGGAATAAAAATAACATTAAAAATAAAAACCATTCGAAGCCCTGGCCAGTAGGTCAGTTGTTTAGAGGCCAGTCCTGACAAGGGCCCAAGGTTGCAGGTTTGATCCCGGTCAGGGCACAGACAGGAATCAACCAATAAATGCATCAGCAAGTGGAGCAACAAACAGATGCTTCTCTCACACTCTGTCCTCCTCTATTAATAAATTTTTTAAATCACTAAAACCATGATAGCACTAAAAGAAAACTCAGGTATATGACACCACATTCTCGATCATGGAGAATGTCCTAGCCATGACGTCTAAGCCAGGAATCACTCTTCAATGAGACCAAGCAATTGGACTACATAAAAGTTTCTTTCATTAAGTTTAAAAAATGACAAAGCACATGTACCATGTAATTTTATGTTTTTTAAATATTTTTTTCAGACATATACATACTAAAATATGAACTCAAACAGTGATTATCTCTATGTGAGGAGACTATATACAGGGTGGGGCAAAAGTAGGTTTAAAGTTGTGAGTACAGGAAACACAGTTTATTCTTGTATTATTATTTATTAATTATTGTATTATTTTCCACACAAACAACTATAAACCTACTTGTGCCCCACCCTGTATTTAAACAGCTAAAAACAGCAATGACAAAATCTGATGTCAACTGTCACGCCAGTAATGTGTCACCTCAACAAAAGTGTACAGTGTGTGGCTATATATATAGAGATTACTGGTCAACAAATGAATGGACTGAATTGTGTACTGAGCATGTACAATGTTTCATCTTTTAAAATAGCCTTTATTTTAACAACTTAGAAAACACTTTAATAAAACAGAATGTAAGGCTCTGGCAAGGGAGCTCAGTGGGTCAGAGCAGCACCCGGATACCCCAAGGTTGTGGGTTCTACCCCTGGTCAGGGCACATGCAAGAATCAAACCAGAAATAAAGTGGAACAACAAATCGATGTTTATGTCTCTCCCTACAAATCAATAAATTAAAATTTTTTAAAAAAGATAAAAGAATGTATATCACATGTGCAAATGGCTTAGGTTCAGGTTCAGAATAATCCTAATGATTATGAGTAACATCAGTAAAGACCCGAGATGAAAGTCTGAAAAATTTCTATCTGGGACTGAATACGGACCTGATGAATACTGCACTATTTTTAACTGAACTTTCTGGCCTTGGGTCAAAGTTTTGCTAGCAAAATGCCACAGTGAAAATGCTGGGAGGGAAGCCCAGAGTCTAGCTCTGGCCTGGGAGAAGCTATGCCCTTCAGGTGACCAATCCCACCCCCAGCGCAGACGTGCAGATGTGCAGAGAGCCACGCTCACGTGGAAACACGCCACGCCACACGCGCGTGCAAATAGGACAGGGCTCAGCACCCCAGGGCCTCCGCACACCGCGAGGTGCCTCTGCGGCCGCGGGCGGCCCCTGCCCTTTGGCCCGACGGCACTGAGTCACTCCGCGAACCATTCCAGAACCTCGAAGGGCGGCCGACTGCTTCCGAAGAAAAGGTACTCGCTGCAAAGGGCGGAGACGCCGGTTTTCTCTGTCGGTCACAAGGGTTTTCCCCGCGGGGAGAAGAACTGAACATGAGTCCCGGGAGAGAATATTCAAAAAAAAAAAAAAGAAAGAAAGAAAGAAATCCACGGAACGCCCTCCAGTCCTCCGGAGCTCCCTTAATACCCAGAGCATCTCCTTCGGGTTCTCCTGCCCCCCCCGGGGCAAAACCCCACACCCCCGGGCCCCGCGAGCGCATCTCCGCCGCACGCCCACCACGCCGTCCGGGAAACACGACCGTCCGTCCGTCCGTCCAGACAGGAGCCGCAAGCAGGCGAACGCTGCGCAGCGCCTTCCTACTTCGTAAAAAAGCACGGTCCTTTCTCCCTCGAGAGCGAGGGGCACACTCGACGTGGCCGCTGCCCGGCACTTCGAAGGCTGTCGCGGGGACGCGGCCCAGGGAAGAGGGCTCGCTCCGCTCTGGGGCTCAGGCTGCGGCTTCCGCGCCGGCGCGACGGTCTCGGGAAACTCAAGGCAAGAAAGTCAAGTGCACACTACACGGCAACGGTGAGAGCTCCAAGACCTCAGGCTCGGGGGACACAGGGAGGGCAGCCCCCGCGGCGGGTGGGCAGGCACTCCCAACGGGGGCAGCACCGGGCTGCCCCTCGCTGCGACCCGGGTCCCCTCGCCGCAGGACACGCTCTCCCACTGGCTACTCGGGGCGTCTGAAGGAAGGCAAACCCTCCGCCCGGCCTCCCCCGCACCCGGAGGGGAGGCGGGAAGGAGGAAAGGGGTGGGTCCTCCCAGGGCTCCAAGGAACGCGCAGCCGGGTTTGACATCGGCTCCGGGGGGTCCCCGGCAGGAAGCAAAGGTGGCGCTCCACGCCGGGAGCTCGGTCGCCGACCCGGGCCCGGCTGCCGGAAGCGGGGCGGCGTGGGGCGAGACCTCCCCCGCGGGTGGGGGGGGCGCAGAGAGGCGGGCCGAGGGGGAGACGCGAGGTCGCAGCCCCCGCGGGGAGGGCTCCGGGCGCCGGCCACTTACCAGCAAGCTCTCCACGTTGATGGGCGAGCGGGGGTCTCGGATCAGCGCCTCCAGCTTCCTCTGGCGGCTCGCGCCCGCCGCGTCCCCCGGCTGCTCCTCGGGGGCGCCGGGCATTTTCCCCGTCGGCGGGGGCCGGCTCATGCCGCCGCCGCCGCCGCCGCCGGGCCCGCACTCTGGCTCCCCGCGCGCCGGCCCGGACGCCTCGGGGCCTAGCGCCGCCCCCGAACCGCCAGCCCCGGGCGGGGTTCCGCCCGGGCCCACGCCCGCCTCTAGCTCGGGCTTCGGGTCTCCGCGCCGGTCCCGGGCCCGGGGCTGTCCGAGGGGCCGGCCTCGCCCGGGAGGCCGGGAGCGGAGCGCGGCGTCCCCGCCCCTCAGTCAGATTCGCGCCGCCGCCGGGTCCGCTCGTCCGCCGCGAGCTCGCTCCCCCAGGACTCCGAGAGCGGGAGCGGCGCCGCCGCCGCCGCCGGGCCCTGCCCGCCCTGCCCTCCGGGGCTCGGGTGGCTGACGCCCAGGCTCAGGCGACTACGGCCGCCGCCAGCCCGCTCCCATGGTCTCCGCCGGCCGCCCCAGTCCCACAAGCCCGCTGCCCTCGCACACTCCCGCGCCGCGCGCAGCCGCTACCCACAAGCCCCTCGGCCGCGGCCGCCGCGCGCCCCCGCAGCCCCGCCCCGCCCGGAGCGCGCGCCCGCACGCCCCGCCCCGCCCCGCCCGGAGCGCGCCCCCTGCGCGCCTCGCCCCCGCCTCTGGTCGCCCCTTTTCCTCCTTTTTTTTTTTTCGTTTCCTCCAGTCCGCTGCGCGTTTCTACTTTCCGAGCCCTCCCTCCCTCCTCGCCCCCGCCTCCTCCCCTCTCGGAGTTCTCGGAGGGTGAACGGCCGTGTGTGCGGTCAACGCCTGACTTTGCCCGCCGCGCCCCCCGCGCCAGGGGCGGGGAGAGCGCGCCCGCGGCTGGGACCCGCCCGCGGCTCGGCTCCCGCCAGAGCCGACCTCGGCGGACGACCCGGGGACTCCGAGGCGGAACCGACCACCCCTGCCGCCCAGTCCCGAGGCCGCTGTGTGGGGGCGGGAGTGGGGGCTGGTGGAGGGATGCATGGGTCCGCGCCCCCCACCGCCGCCCGGCCCGGGCTGACTCAGCGCGCAGCTATGCGGGTCTTGCATCACCCGCGCCAAAATAATAGCGACCGCCAGTCGCTGCTCTCGCCTGCAGAGCTCTGAGCTTGCAGGGGGCCTGCCCGGGCCACGGAGATCTTACTGGGAAGGCCGGGAGGGTGTGCAGTGGGAGTCGGAAACTGGACGTGGACAGGCGGTTGGATTCCTAGTCCTGGGGCAGGAGGGCCTGGCAGAGTTCCTTCCGGCCCCAGGGCACGAGTCCTGGAATTCCAAAAACCTTTCTGCGCCTGCCTAGCAATCCTCTCCCAGCCTGAGCTGAAACCCTAATCACAAGACAAGAGAGCGGTAGAAAAATGCTTTCCATCCGCAGGCCTTCGCGAGGTCCTTGACTTTTGGGGCGGCAGAAGGGCGGTTGTAGGGGCCGCTCCTCCACATTCCTGGCCCCTCGCCATTGGCCAGATCTACCCAGGGCGCAATCTGAAAAATATGTGCCAAGAGCTATAAAACTGTTCATTGAACCCCCTTGACCCAGTAAACCCATTTAAGGAAGTAACATTTCTAAGGAAATGATCCAAAGAGGCAAAGAAGGGGGGCGAACTTGTATAAAGATGTTTATAGCAGGACTATTCACAACGTTCATAATGGCTCAAACCTGGAATGGACCCAATTGTCCAGCCATTGGGGAGGAATCCAAACAAGCTCTGTCACATTAACAGAAAGAATCCTGGCATATGTGCAAGATGTATGTCAAGCACATGAAAGTTTTGGCAAGCACACGAAAAGATGTATCGGAAATAAGGTTAAATGAAACAACAAATATGAAATAGCTTGTACGCACTATTTAAAACTATGTAAAGTGAACAGCTGTGAGAAGGAGGGAGACTACAGCTGTTTTTCAGTGGGATGTTTTTGCTGTAAAGATACTTAAGAGAACATTAAATTTTCGATAATTGAAAACTACTGTTGAATGGGCCACTCCAAAAAAAGCTACAATCTGATACCCATTAAGTAATGTCTTAAGAACCATTCTCACTGTCTTGTCAGAGATAAGCCCACATTTGGCAACTTAGTGCTAAAGCCCTGACCTTGTAATAGTAACATTTTAATCAGTGAATGTTCCAGGAGTCTCATTTTCGGTTTTGTGTTAAAGCCACCCTCCCTTGGACTTAGGCAGGAGGAGGCCCTGCAGGATCCAATAGAACTTTTCCTTCTCAGATAATGCCACTGACTTGCGGTCAAAAGTTAAGTGCTTCAGAATGTATGTGGAGTGACTCATTCATACCTCCACAGACCAAACCAAGAGGAGAGAATGAGCCTACACTTCTGCTGTATGGGGGGCAAAATAATGAAATAATCCATGATTACAGATCCTTTTATTCCTAAGAAGAATATGATATGCAAAGCAAAGGGAACACCATGTGGTTCTCAGGTTCCAAACTAATTTTTTCAGTGACTGGCTGTGTGTTACGGAACTTGGTGGCCTAACAGGAAGCCATAGTCACAAATACTAGACATGAAAATTCTGTGTAAAAAAAAAAAAAAAGTAGTGATCCACAAGGTACAGATAATGGGCACCTTTTGCTATGGTCATTTACATAGGCTAGAAAAACTCATAGTGTAGAAGATCTTTATCCGAGGCCTCATCATTGTCTGTGTGGAGGAAAAGAAAACTATCTCTTGATATGAGTTAAACCTTTTTATTTTATTTTATTTCCTTCTTGGTCAGTAAAACAGTTCTTGTTTTACCAAAGTAATACACAATGCATTCTTGTAAAAGGTCGAACAAACCAGCAGTATGTAGAACACACCTTGAAAAACTACTCTCCCGTATCTGCCCCACACGCACATTCTCTTATCATTCAAGACCTTGATTCATTCTCATACATGTGTATTTGTATATACCCATATGTATCGTTTCCCCACATATACGGCATTATACCATATAGTCTTTCGCAACTTGATTGTTCCCCTTGATCGATATGTCTTAGAGATATCTCCACGTCTGTACAAAGAAATCTACCTCGTTCTATTTAACTGCTGTACGACGTCCCGTAGTACAGATGAAGCATGCTTTTATTTACTCTTGATTAGGGAGCATAGTAGTTAAGGACAGACTTTGGAGACAGAGTGTCTGGGTTAAAAGCCTGCCACCGCCAAACACAAGCTCTGTGTGTCTGGGCTTCCTTACAATGTTTGTTATAAAGTGCTTCAATGAATACTGGCCCTTGATAAATATTAGTTATTATTAGTATTTTCTCACTGTCACAAACAGTGTTACAGTTGGCATTCCTGTATTTTTGCCTTCGTGTGGACATTTAAATAGTATCGACTCCTACAAGTGAAATTGTATCGAAGAGGAGGCACGCTTCAGATAGTTACAGACATTGCCAAACTATCCTCAAAAAGACTAGCAGTTTACATTCCCACTCTCAGAAGAAGAAACTGCCAATTTCCCTTTACCTTTGCCAATATTAAATACTATAAATCTTTTCTGTTTTTGCCAACTTGATGGGCAAACAAAATGGTGTCTTGTTTTAATTTGCATCCCTTTAATTACTACTGGAGGTGAGCATTTCATGTTTCTATTCCTTCTGAAATCACCTGTGTATATCTTGTGTTCACTGGTCTTCCATTTTTCTTACTAATTTGTAGGAGCTCTGTATTTATTGTGGATATCCCTCCTTCTTATAACATAATGCTAAAACGTGTGTTCTAATGTGCAATTTTCTTTTCTTCCAGTCTGTTGTTTGTCACTTCCTTTTGTTTTCAGGATCTTTTTTTGTCAAGCCACTGTTGTTACCTTTTATGAATTCACATCTGCCAATGGTTTCCTTTACATCTTCTAGGTTTTATGTCTGGGTCAGGACTGAAACTGCAAGACTTCCAGTCTTGCGGGGAAATGGCAGTTCCCTGCTAAGTTCCTAATAGTTTCCTAGTCATGTCAATCTCATCTCACCCCCTGTTGAGCCACAGAAAGAGGGTCTCCCTGTGCCCGCTCTTTTCAGAGCAGCTCCTGCTGCAGCTCTGTGGTCCTGTCCCAGGTTGCTGGGCTCCCTTTTAACACTGTCCCTTACGTGTCCTGAGCACGGGGGTGACAGGTGGGACCTGGATAAAAAACTCTGTCCAGCACTCAGGAAGAGTACTCAGGGGGAGTAAGCGCGGAGAGCAGAGGGCATTTACACAGGCGGGCCTGTCTGTGTGTAATACGGCTTTGATTCCGCCGTAACCAGCTTGATCTGCAAGACTTAGCAGCTCCACCCCATTTTATATGAATTTTGTCTATGTTTCTTTTCTCCGCTTCCTCATTCCCAGCCCATTTCTAAGTGGCTGGTGCCAGGTTAACACCCACTACCCAGCAATGCCTTCCCAGCTACCCGGACCCTTCACAGCCCGGACTGAAAGAACAGAGCTCCCCCGCT